GCTAGCCCGGCGGAGACCTCGCCCCGTCGCCCCCCACCTCGCCCGCACCCCCCCCGGGCCCGAAGCAGGGGCAGGCCTGGGTCCCCTTGGCTGACCTCCGGGGTTGCATTCCCCCCCCGAAGGCGTGACGCCGTCCAAGGGGGGGCCACGAACACTCCCCAACCCTAACCACTGCCCCCGCGCCGTCGGCCTTGCCGGTGCCCCGACTCTGAGCTCCGTTTGGAGCCGGCCTCCCACCCCTGGCCGCGCTTTTGTCCCTCGGCGCACCGGTTGCTGGGGGAGCGTTTGTGCGCCGGAGCCCATTTCTCCGCAGGGAGATCTCTCCCAGCAGGTAAAGCGGGGATCGGAGCCCCTGGACTTGCCTTTGCAGCCAGATGCTCCAGCACCCTGTACTAATAATGCCAGGTCCCAACTCCAGGCGTTCAGTCATCCATGGGATTATTTGGTGTCCCAGGGTGTCCCCTCTCCGTTTCTAGCCATGCCCAGCCTGCACCCCACACGAAATGAGCGTGCCCCTCAAAACCTTCCCTCTGAACCCTGTGCAATACAAAACACGGTTGTGCAGGCTGGGCCGGTTGGATATTCCTTAGAAGCAGAACAGTAGCTGGAGGAAGGGTGGAGAATATGGTGTCTTCCGTGCTGGCTTCAATTTTATCCAGAACTGCTGGGTAGCTCAGTGGTTTAGGCGTAGCTGGAGGAAGGGTGGAAAATATGGTGTCTTCCGTGCTGTCTTCCATTTTATCCAGAACTGCCGGATAAGCTCAGCAGTTTAGGTCTCTGGCTGTTGGGGGTTCGATTCCCGCCCCTGGGCCTTCTTGACAGGGGCTGGACTTGACAATAATCTACACAGGGCCCCTTCCAGCTCTGCAGATCTAAGATGATGATGATGATGGGCCACTCAGTGGTTTAAAGCACAGTAATCTACACAGGGCCCCTTCCAGCTCTACAGATCTAAGATGATGATGATGATGGGCCACTCAGTGGTTTAAAGCATCAGGCTGCAGAGCCAGAGGTTGGGAGTCCTTGACAGGAGCTGGACCCAATGATCTCCAGGGTCCCTTCCAGCTCTGCGCTTCTAAGAACAATGATCTCGAGGGTCCCTTTCAGCTCTGCGCTTCTAAGATTATTATTGTTGTTACAGATTATAATGCTGTTACTAATCTGCTGTTTAGGTCGGATGTTCGTTTAATAAAATATAAAAATGAATTTTTAAAAATGCTGCTACTAATCATTCCCTGAGCTTTCAAGTTCCATAGAAGTTACAAACAACAAGGCCGGAGTTCCAAGGCAAAGCACGAGAGACAGTGATCTGAGGAAGTGGGAGGAAGATGAGTCAAGGGGAAGGGCGCCCCGGCTTTTTTCCCCAACAGCCACAGCAATCTGTTCTCCTTTAAGAGACGAGAGGAGGCTGGCACCGGAAAGGGCCCCAGGCGACTCCGCTTTCCATCACAAGAGGTCAGCATTGCTCCATGGATGGGGTGGCCACCTCCCATTCCGCTTCGGCTCAGACACACGCAATCCAAAACCCAACCTTTCTTAACAAGAGGGTGCTTTTTATTAAGCTGACCTTTTTCCAAGTGTTGTCTGGAAAGTTCGGTCTAAGAACAACCCTCTTTACTATGGTATTCCCAATTGCTACATACAGATATGAAAGCTGGGCAGTGAAAGAAAAAAAACCTGATTCATTTAAAATGTTGTCGGAGGAAAGCTTGATGGATGTCATAAAAAGACCAGTAATCGATCAAATCAAGACTGAAGTCTCCCTAGAAGCAGAAAGGATGAAACGGGGGGGGGATCCTATTGGGGCACATCACAAGTCTGCCTGAAAAGGGGTAATGATGTTGGGGAAAGCTGAAGACAGCAGGAAAAGAGGAAGATCAGTCATGAGATGGACTGGTTAATAAAGGAAGCCACAGCCTTGAACTGAGTAGGGCTGTTATTGGTGGGACCTTTTGCAGGCCACTAATTCAAAGGGCTGCCATATATATAAAATGACTTGACAAGATGCAGAACAAAGAGTTCAGAAATGCAAATAATCTTTGCATGTTGTAAATAAGACCCTCACGATTTGTGTCAGACAAGATTTATTGCTGGCTAGGGGATTCTGGGAGTTGTAGTCCAAGGAGCAGTAAGAGGCTGTCATGCTCTCAATATGGATGGTGAAGGATGCGGAAGGCTTCCTGGATTCACCTCTTGGGTTGGCTTTTATGCCCCCAACTTGTTTCATCCTCTCAGCCAACATGGGAAAAAAAGCTCACACAAATATGTTTGCAATAAAGAAGAGACAGAAAGGTGGAAAAAGTGAAAGGTTCTTTCCAGAAATTCCCAGCTCAGAGAATACATTATTTTGAACTCTTTTATCTTCCAGAAGATGACAGTAGATGTCAACAGAGCAGCTGTCTCCTATTATTTATTTAAAATATTTAAAATTTTAGGTTGTGCATTAATGATTATAATTAAATAATAAGTTTCATTGTGGATATAAATTATAACTTATGTCTGTCTGTGACATTTGTTCACACAGTGGGAACCCACATTTACAGGGGAGAACTAGGTTGCAGGCCACTTTCCCCCCCAGGACAAAACCATGGATGTTTTGCACATGGAGAACTCTTCACCTGAGTTGTCGTGGGTTGGGCAGGAGTGTCCCCATGAGACACAATTTCTTTTCTTGTTTGGATGATGACAATGAAAGGGAGGGTAGTCGCATCCAG